CATGTGCTGCAGCTCATCCGTGCTGTGTACGAACAACGCACAGTCGTCAGCAAACAGCAACGTACGGATAGTCTCACAGACTAAAGTTCTCGCATAAAAAGGCGGATAGTCATCAACCCACCATCAATACGGTGCTGCACACGAATACCGTAAGCACAAGCCGCGTCAAACCCACACTACATAATGCTATGAAGATATATATTAAACAAGGCAGGAGCTAAGACACAGGCTTACTTCACACCAGAGATAAATGCAGAGTCATCCGAGGTCTGATCACTAAGCTGGACCCTCGCCCGCATATCACTGTGCAAATATTCAATTAAACAAACATACGCAAACAGTCTAACTTACCCAACACCAGCCACAATGCCTCGCGTTTCACTGTGTCAAATACTTTGGTAAAATCAACCAAAAGCGAGTACAACGGCTGGTGTCGTTCTCTACACTTCTCCTGTGTAGCTGTATATTCCTTCTTCACGGTTACATAAAGCGCATTGTTGACTTGACTTGAACTGACGAGCCGTAAACACCATAACGATGGAGTTGCGACCCGAACGGATTCCACATTTTTTTATTCCGTCATGTTGGGTTCCACAACCTGACTGACTAGGCGCTTGAGCAGGATTCTGGAAATCACCTTGCCCACCGAACTTAGCAAGTTGCTACCACGATAATTCGAGATACTGCTTTCTTCCTTTATCCTTGTGCAGTGGTAGCACAAGGGTATTTTTCAGCTCAGGAGACAGCACCTTAACCCACACGTGCTACACCAAGTGATGCAGCGCAGTCACCAACGCAGGTCCGCCGTGTTTCAATACTTCACACACGATCTCGACGGCACCGGCCCACTTGTCGTTTCGCAGCTGAGTAAGTGTTCTCTGCGTCTCATCTACTGTTGGCATATCCACCAGACACACTTTCAACTGGGGTTGCTTCAGGCGGTTCAGTGTCGACCATTCAATCTCTGAAAGAATGGTCAAAGGACAGTCAAACTTAGTTCGCCATGTGTACATTGTCTGCAGTCAATTTGCCAGCAGCTCAAAAACTACCGTTAATCAGCGTCCTCAGCTGCCCCAATCTCGGTCCATGCATCCTCTTCAAGAAGTCAAAGAATTCCTTGTATTGACAGCATCCGTCGTAGCATTTCATTAGCTTTGCCTTCTCTGTCCCCCATGTCTTTTCAACGCGACGTAGCTCTCGAGTCAGTCGCGGTCGAATTTTGCAGAACTGCAACTTCTTTCCCAAGTTATTGAGGTCTACCACATGTGCAAAAAATGCTGCATTCTTCTCAGACACCAATGCGCCAATCGTCGCATTGTTCGCACCAATCTAATCGGAAAGCTTACATTTTACGTGCCACATGCTCTCCTCAGCAGCAGACGTCACGTAGTCGCGAATGTAGTGCCACAGGTCGCCCACTGTGGCTATGCATTCCACATCACAGTCGTGCAGCCATCTCCTTCTCCAGCCACCAAAGTTTCTCCACAGTACTGAGGGAGAGAGTGTGAAATTTACGTCTTCGGTTCACGGTAACCACACAGTACGTACTTTGCCGCACACAGCTGTAAAATTTGGTCCCTACCAATTTTTGGTCAGTGCCACACTCAGCTCTAAGTAGTATAGGTGCCATGCGCACGTCACGCACCTCACGCTGGTGCAGATAACATAATCGAGTCGATAAGCATGACCACTCCGTGGATGCGTCCAAGTTGCTATTTCACTCGCACTCAGAGCAAACCGATTGTTCCTGACCGTCAGGCCTACGGTGAGAGCAGCCTGTCACCGTTCGCATTTGTTGAACTAATGCTGTGCGGACCTAATGACATCTGTCCACACCGATGCATCACGTTCAACGCGCGCGTTGAAACCACCCAGCAGAAATAGTCGGTCGCTTTTCGGCACACACCGTAACAAGGAGGATAAATAAGCGTTGTATCGCTCAGGCATGTCATCAGAATAGCACATTCTCAGACCGTACGGGCTTATAAAGGGGGCAAACTTACCACTTCCGATTCGTAGACAATCAGTCATCGGTCGGGCATTGATGCCAGTGGGCTGTACCACCTGTTGGTCATTTACGCGATCTGATAGTACAAATCCGACTCATGTTCACGTGGTGATGAGATGGCGTTTCGTACCCTGTAGAATGTGTATCCAGCACCAGCTTCGTGCAACTTACCTTGTTCAGCGATCCGGGTCTCGCTGAGCGCTGCAATCTCGATGTTGTAGCACGCCAGTTCCATCACGACCAGTGCACTGCGTCGTTTAGACCGTTCACTCGTATTCCGGTCAATCAGTATGCGTACGTTCCAACACCCGAGGTTGAGTGCTTTGCGCGGAGATATAAGAATGCGTTGGCGAACAATCTTATGAGTGGTGACGAACTGGATTGTAGGAAGTATTAGGTTAGGTGAAACGGGGACGAGAGAATATGTGCAGAAGAAAGAAGGGAGGCGACCAAATATTTATGGATCCAGACAGAGACCAACAAACAATCAACGAGACCGGGCTATCAACCCTTTCCCAGGGCAGTTAAAGACCGACTGATAATTGATTCTGAACACAAAGCATCGGCTGAATCTGCTTACTTGCAACCATCTCTGCGAAACGGAGGAAGAGAGAATTGGTATACCGTAATAGGACTATGAACTCCAAAGTGACCTCGACTAATGACCTATAGTCAATAGGTGTCGGCTGATCGAAGAGGCCAGTGGCCTTCGCGGAATAGCAGCTTGAATTTGGCCGGTTTCCTGCGCGGTGGACCGTTGAACCCACTTATGCACATGCTCCTTCATTCGGGAAGACAATGTCCCATCGGCTTTGCTTTTGTAAATGGCTCACAGTCATATACGAATTGGCATATTCGATGCGATTTGGCCCGGTAGGCTGAACCATTTTTTACAGAAGGAAGGGGCCGTTTTTGGGTTCGGTTAATGACAATCAACTTAGCGTCGTAGTAACTACTTTGCATTGCACAAAGAGACGTCGCCCTTGAACGACGGTTCAATGAGTACAAGCTTCTTGTCTATGTTGGCATTAAGTCTTTTGGTCGCACTTGACTATGCTTCTCGATGAACCTTTTGGGGGTAGCCGTTTTCAGCAAGTGTATTCATACTCAACTGCAGTTCGTCAGCAAGGCAATCCGTGGAGCAGATTGGTCTAGTACGACTGATCAGAGTTCTCCCAAGCGTCCGCTTGTATCGCATTGACGTGAAGCGAGTAAAATGCAGATACTGGCCAGACTATGTTTCATTCGATTGGACAAACCTCTTTACCTGCCGGTTTTCTCTGAGGCTATTGAGGATCTCCAATACGGGAGGCAATTTTACTAATCTACCTCACACAAGACCGTCAAGTTGTCATGCGCAGCATTTAGTTGCGTTTCCAGTTGCTCCGTACGATGCACGGATAAAAAAATGCCAAAATGTTGTCCATCTAGCGTTTGTAATATGGCAGTTGAAGTATTTCTCCAGACATACCCCGTTCTATCATTAATGTAAAGAACTCGGCAACTACTGGGTCCAATAGGCTGCCCATCTTTACTCCATCAATTTATTTGTACAGTGCGTTTCCGAAGCGAGTTGACATTCTCTGTGAGCAATAATAATAGTAATAATAATAATAGTAATAATAATAACTGATTTCCTAATAGTTCAAATGGCATTGCTAGTGGACAGCGAGAGCTGCTAGTTCACATATGTAGTCAACATTTTGGTGCAGCGGAAGATTGGTAAATAGCGATTCTGCACCTAACTAGCAAATGACCTTGTCGGATACATTATGTTTGTCGAGATAGTCGATAAGCTGGAAAGAATCCTTTAGTTTGTATGCATTGGTCCAATGTCTCATGGGGAAAGCACATGCACCAACCTGTTAGCCAGTTTATGTTGCGGCACTTTTACCATCGACGGAATCGGTTGGAGCGACACCCCACTTATTGACTACAGGTTGCCCGAGTCGTCACTCCTATTACAGTAAACCAATTCTCCCCTCCTCCGGTTCGCAGAGGCGGTTGCAATTAACCAGATTCAACCGATGCTTGGTGTACAGAACAATTATCGGTCAGCCTTAGACTGCCCTGGGAATGGAAATAATAGCCCCGGCACGCTTATAGTTTTTAGTTTGTCTGTTTGCATGTATGTTTGTTCTAACTCTGTCCATAAGTAAATATTTACTTTTTTTTATGGCGCTGATGAGACAATACGAAATGCGTGCGTTTGTCACTCCTCGTTTTCTTCCCCAATGGATTATCTGTACTATCCCCGCATATCTGCCTTCTAAATTGAGGGAATCTTTCCGGAATTATTGGTTAATAATATCCGTGCAGCTACAGGTGAACACTCAGCCTTGCATAGCGTTACGTTATCAACCATTCGCAGAAATAAGAGGGGAAACATCGTATTACACCTACCACTGCGTACATTATTTGTACTGCTGATGCCACCGGCTTTCCTGATTGCGATCAACTTGTATACACTCTCAACCTAACCGAACAGTAGATTGCTGCAATATATCGACCAAGATCTGTAGATCAAAAACTTCGGATCCTATCTTGACCTACTACTATTGGGTTAGAAAACTTTCTATCTCTTTTTGATAATCGTGTATAGCATCCGCTATCAGGGAAAATGTATTTACTGCATGTAGCAAGACAACGCTGAGGCAATTGTATTTTATTTCACCGAAATTCTTCCGAAATCGGTCTCAATGGAAGTGCCAATGCACCATACCGATTGCTCCTTGGTACTCTACCGTTCACTGTGCTCAGTGGGCACGTTTCCTCGATTCTACTACTGGGGACAGTGATCTAGCAGAGTAACGGAATACTCATGCAAATGGAAACTAAACTTTATGTTTAAAACCCGACACTTGATAAGTAGTTTAGATTTGGAATATCAGCCTAAAGTATTGCGCAAACTTTGGACTATATTGTTTTTATGGGTGTATTTCTGGTCGCACCAAATGCTTAAATATATGTACATGTCTGTCTTTGGTTTACCGACATTCCCGGCAGCTTGACCATGTCAAAAGACAAATATCTAGAAGAAGAACAGCTGCTCAAACGAATCCATACATTCGATTATATTCGAATGTGCTTTCCCGATCTGAATGGCTTGCATTTGTCTACACTTGTACCCACTAGACACTGGAAGAAGATCGTTTCCGGACAATGCGAAATGTATTCCGCAATGATAACTTACGGACCACGAATGGAGGTGAGCACTGAAACCACTAACTCCATGCCAGTATTCCTTGTTTTAATGTGTCTTGTAATTTATCTTCCATGTCGATGTTGACGTACGCATTCTTGGGATACAATATGCGACCTCGATTTATATGATATCACCACCATGTTAGGGGGAATCTGAATCTGTCGGGTTTGTGAGAGAAGCGTTTATACTGCAAAGGGCATAAGAAGCAAGGCACGTGTCGTCCGATAAGTGCCCTTCAGTATAATTGACTTTAAATAGGGACGAAATTATAGAACGTCGTCGCTTACTACCTTTCTACATCCGCGAACCAACTGCATTGACTAGAGCAATTACAAGTAATAGATTTGGCACGCAATGACAGATAATCATTCAACTGCACAACTTTTAATTTTTGGTATTAGCATGTCTGCATCATTTGGACCACAACGCCACGGCGCAGTTAAACCTCTGCTTACCCTCAGGCAAAGCTTGTGCATTTTGTCTAAAGGTAAACAAGGGATCATGTCTTTGTCCAATGATTCAAATGGCGGCTGTCCATTGTGATGCTTTGGCTCTCCTAATGAAGGGAAGTCCGCATTGTTCCCCAATATAGCATTCGAGGAAACCTGGAAGCTCATGTGACCTTCAGAGTGTTCCTACTCATCGTTTTAACAGTTAGTTTGAACATCTTATTCATGTTTGTATAATTTTCATAAGCGAAGTGCATCGGCGCCGACGCACTTCAAGGGCAGATTTGTGCATCTGTCTCTCAAAGTCTGTTGAACTCCTTTGGGTAACGCTTGGTTCAATTCATTGATGATTTTCTCTAGAAATTGATAGACCTCCCCTGGTTTTGAATACACGTAGCAGAGCCCGATAACAATGGAACAATGGATTTATGCGGGTATAAAAGCTAAAGCTTGACAAATCCCGTAGGGTGATCAGTGCGAAAATCATAGAAGTGTGAAAAATTCAATGGAAACCAATTCAGTAAAATCGTTTAACAACGAGTCACTACAAGCTTGTGGACTCACCGAGTTTGAAGTGTCAAAATATTAATCCACTATAACTCCGGAGGGGATCATGAGATATGGAGAGTATTTGGTTAAAAGAGTCACCGCCCCTTGAAATTCGCATGGGGCAACGTGTTTGAGTTTGAAGCGTCAAAATATCAATCCACTGTTGAAATAAGCGTGGGGGAAAATTGATTTTAAAGTTTGGATTTTGGATCTCTCAAAATTAGACTGTACTATGGGAGATAGTGCAATGAAGTGAGTGCACTATCAACTCGATTTTTGAACTCGATCAGGTTGGGTGCACTGACTACAGATTCTGGGAGAGCATTCCAGGCTTGGCAAACACGCTTGAACAATGGACAATGTATTTACACGGGTAAAGAAGCGCTGCTTTACAAATCCTGTTGGATAGTTGGTGGGGATATCAACATAATAATGCCAAGGAAAATAGTAATAAAACAGTACTTTAAATATGCAAAGAAGGATTTATTGTTTGAGCCGCTTTAGTTCTGCATTCCACTCAGATTTGCAGCATCCACCATTAACAACAAATAAATCAAATCCCGCTCTAAGTAACAAAGTGTAAGTGGATGAGTGCATCATCCAGCCGTCTTTTAACTACGGTTAGTCTTGTTTCAGAAACCACCGATTCTGATAGAGCATACCAAGAGTGACATACACGGATGGAAAAGAAATTTCTGCGTCATTCTCCACAGTTATACTGTTTTGTGAGTTTCAATGAGTGCGCCCTCAAGTTTGTATTACTGTTGAGTTGCAGTACGGAGTAGCATACATGATATGGGTCTCGCAGAATCACGTATGCCATAATTAGATCTTCTCATAATCTGCGGTACCGTCTGCGGAATACCTCAGCCTCTATTCGCAGGAAAAATTATGCATTCCAATTATGTTTATGATGTCCATCGTTGAGGCTGCTCTAGTGCGCTAAGATCGTGTTTTAACCATGGATGTCAGGCTTGAATTGTGTATCCCACAAACGCACTGAGCGTTTGTCCCAAATAGAGCTGTCAATTTGCCCGAAGGCCTGTCGCAAAAGCCCGAAGTGTTGGTTTCCATCCTTTGAGGCGTTTGCGGATTTCCGGAAGCAATCACCTCATTTTGAACCGTTACACCCAATTCACGTTCGACAGTTGAATGTTGCAGTACATTCGTCTTGAGCCGGAATGAGTAGTTTCTCTGACGTCGTATAGAGAGTACGTTGCAATTACTCATGTTGAAATGCAGTAGTTTTTGATTAACCACTTACGTACCATATCTAGCTCACTCTGAAGCAGAGGTTGGTCGGCTTCCGTCCGAATCCTACGCAAAAATCTTAATATCGTCAGCGAACATTAGAAACTTTGAAGCGCTTGCCTGTGCAAATTCGTTACTTAACACCAAGAACAGACGTGGACCTAGAACTGAGCATTACGGAACATCAGACACGACGAACTTCCGCGCTTTGTCCCATCTCCCCTACCCACTCAGGCTGAAAACCCTAAAAATGTACAACGAATCTTATCGGCGTCTAAGGGGCGATCACATAACGATGTATCAGCTTCTGAGAAACCGCAACCACACATGCCATTCTCTTTTGAAACAGTCAAAATGCATCTTTAATGTGACATCAGATTAGGCTGGACACGGAATACAGCTGACTAGAATGTCGACGAAACTTTTTCTCTCCGAGTGTCAGAGCCATGGAACACCCTCCCGGCATACCTAATTAATGCCCCGCCTTATCCAGTTTCAAAGACTCTTTGACGATACTCTGGCATATTTACACCGCGTAATATAGCCTATGACCATCAGATGCTGGCGTTAATACACAACAAACAGTGGGCGGGGTCATAACCATAATGCACATGAGTTACTCCAAAGCCCATGAGGGGTCCTGTATTTCACTTGTTATTTTACTGGCACTGTTTCTTAGTTTGTACATATCACCCCCAATCATCCTACGGGACATGTCCACCATTCGCTTTTACACCCGTCATAAATCATTACTCCATTTTATGGGGTCCGATAAAGAGCTCCAAACTCTGACCACTAACTGAGGTTAAAGCAGAAAGTTGGCAATCCAGCTTAGAACAGCTTCACCAATCCAGCAATACTGGAGCTTGGAGAGTAGTATCGGATGGTCTAGATGATCGAAAACTTTCGAAAATTCCAGGTAGATCACAGCAACCTCTTCTCCAGTATCAGCTAACTCAGTCCAACTACTGATTAAGATTAGTAAATTCGTTGTACATAACCGCTGTAAACGGAAGCCACGCTCTTCAGGCGTGATGATTTTGCCTTTTTCCAGCTAACACACTAGTTCAACGGCCACTGTGGATTCCATGACCTGAGAGAGTATAGGAAAAAGGAATATTGGGCGGTAGTTGGAGAGCGCAGTTCTGCTTCCACCTTTGTGAATCAGGGTTATTATTCTAAGATTTCACATAGCAAGAACATGGTTCTGCTCTGAGCAGTACTAGAGAAACTGAGCCAAATTTCCTGGCAGTTGCAGTGCTGCGGCTTCCAATGCCTCTGAGCGAATGGTATCGGCACCCGGTGAGCTGTGTTTGAGTAGAGACGTCAGCTTTTACAATACAGCCTCCGCGTTAAACCTGATATGGGTTATGTTTGGAGGCAGGAGATCTAAGGCTGGAAGGTCACTTGATGGCAAGACCCACTGCAACGTAGGGGCATATTGCATCCGCAGCGCGTTTGTTGCTTCCACAGCCGTACTTATGGGTGCATCAGCCGTCCTGAAAGGAGGAAATCCTTGCCTCACTTTTCTTAGGCCAGTGACATGCTTGTACAGATGTTGATGCTTAACACCGGTTTTTGCGATATACTGTTGATATGCGGCTTTGTCATCTCGGAGCAGCTGCGTGCAGCGGTTACATTGGGCTACATAGTTCTTCCAAGTTTCTGGTGTTGGAGCTTATCTGTACACCTGCCATGCTGCGTTGTCCACTGCCATCCACTTTCGAGTCCTGCCTTTAACGAAGGAAACTGATTTAAACCTATTGCAAACTCTTATCTCTGAAGCATGTGCATTCAGTGAATTTCATTTGTTTACAAACTCGAACAGGGTGCATTCCGGGGGTTATTTGGCAAGGAACGACCAAGTTGTAGCGCTGACGAGTTGGGCTAATCGATCGAAGCTTTATATGGTTCACATATTCTCCTAGGTCACAATCCCATATTTCGCATAGCAGACAAAGTTGAAACTGATGATTGCATGATCACTGCGATACAACAGGCAGTTTATAGACAACACATTAATCATATTCTCGTGGTTGGTAATCACAGGATCCAGCCCAGATGACCTGTTACCGGTTCTGAACCGAGTCGGGAAACTGATGCGATTGTAAAGCGGAGCACTGATTACGAGCTCCCGTAGATCTCCCTTAAATGAATCAAGGGAGGCAGAATTTGAGTAAAGAATTCTTTTCGGTAATTCTCATCGGACTCAAACATTACATGATGAGGAAAATGCTAAATGTGCCGGATTGGGCTGCGTATTGAGCACAATGTTTAATTGCACGGGTACAAATCGATAAATCACGGGGTCATTGTAGGTGGCAAGTATGTACAGGGGAAATCACATCCGAAGTTGTAGGCAACGGTAGAAGTAAAAGACGTACAAACTGTTTTTGTACGCATAGTTCTGGCTTGAGATGGCGGATGTAGACAGCTTCCGCGATAGACAGAAGATGCATCCGGAATCCGCGCGTGAAACGTTCAGGAACGGTATAGATGACTCTAAAATCCTTTTCCGTTCCTGCTTGACTGCACTCTAGAAGCTGTGATAAGATGGAACTGTTACTCGACCTCGCTTCGCCTTTGTAAAACCATTTTGTGAGGTGTTCGCGAATCCTATGAGATAGGCGTCTCGTGGTACGACCCACCACGTATCGTGCCCCACAGGAGCACGAGTAAAGATAAACAAGCATTGATCGGGTCACCGGAGGCAGCCTGTCTTTCAAAGGTTTTGCAAATAAAGGCTTGTTGTAA